CCAACCATGAAATATCTGAAGATCTGCTTGTAACTGACTATTAATAGATTCAATATTGAAATCAGACAAAAAAAGAACAGTATCATCAGCATACAGGTTTTGTTATAGAAGTTTATTCCAAGTAGCTTCCAGCTGGGAAAGAAAGAAAACAATAATTAAAGTTTAAAATCAGGTCTGCACGATGTTATGGTAGTAATTTATTTTCTTGCTGTTCATTTTTTTATTCAAGTATTGTTAAACTGATTTTGTTACACTTGGATTATAAACAAGATGAATTTACCTAAACTGTAATGTTATACAATTATGTTTTTAACATTCTTAACACTAAAGAAGTATGTGTGACTCCCTTTTTTGTGTGTGTTGTTGATAACAGAGCCTTATACTGTAACAAATTGTCTTTTTCTTTGGTGTTAATAAAAGGGGAAATTATTTAAAACAAACAATTCATTATTAACAACGTTAGACGACTTTAGGAGTGGGGGTGGCTATGAGTTACTTTCTCAATTAATCAAGCCCTATGGAAAAAAATCATGATTCTGTTTTAATGGTAGGCCTACACACACACTCCTTCCAGCTGCAAGCAAAGCTCTTATTTTTTCCACCCAGTGTGCCTCCAAGTGCAGCGCCAACTTATTTACTCAAACTAATAACAGAAAGAAAGAATGGCTGTAAGCCTGTTCAAAAACTACATTTATTTAAACCATAACCACAATGACTGGGAGGGAACAGAGACACTCTCACCCCACCACATTTACATACCTTTTTACATAAAGTCTGTAATGACAAATACAGACTTAAACAAAAACTAAACTATAAAAAATGCTCTCTTCCAGCAAACCTGTGCACTTCTGTAAATAAATAAATGAATAATCCAAAAAACTAAAACGTCTCATTATATAATAAGAACAAGAAGAAAAGGGGAAACTGTTCCTTCCAGAGAAAGCTTATAAATTATTTGACAAGAAAACAACCAGGTTTACCCTAATGGGTTTTTAAGAGTCTAAATGTCACCTGTGTGATTATCTCGCCCATCGTCATTTGCTAGTTTGATGAATGTTGGTTGGAAAAATGTTACGTATCGCTCAACCTTAATTAGTAAGTGAGAGCAGAGAAGTTTAAGGGCATTTTCAATCAACTACACAGTTTGTTTCAGCTTAGGTAGAGAAAAGTGCTGGCACCGCTGGTATCTGCAGGGAATTCCTTAAAAAAACTGTGTTTTTTTCTCAGCCTTGGAGAAATACTCTATAAGAATATTTTAATGATTGTCTTAAAAAGATGACTTCTTGCAACAGATTTTATTGTTGATTAGTTCTTGATATTGAGAAATGTTTGGGTTCCCACAGCAATGAGTTCTAATGGAATGAGACTGAATTAGTTTGCCTTGTTTTGACATATTCATGATGATGCTAAAATAATAAGTTCTTAGACTTCATTTAAAACTCAGTTCAGAACACGTCACATGGTTTAGAAATAAGATTAGTATAAATATACAAACAATAACAATGTTCATTAGTTTATTTTTCAGATCATATAAGCGAGGGCAACTGTTCCTCGGTGACGTCCGAATCGACTATACACACAGAGGGAGCAGGTTCTCATCACGAGGGGAGGCCATCCCCAGCCAAACCCGATTCAGTTTCTGAAACACCTTTGGCTTTGGTCCAAAGCAGCCCTGCAAGTTACACTCAGGACTTCTCTTCAGAGTCACAGCCACCCAGCAGAGAAGTATGAAGAAATTTGTGTTTCCTTCCCCTTTTTCGAGTCTGAAAGTCACTGCTGCTAATTTAAAACATGTTTTTAGTTGCTTTATATCTAACCAGGAGGAGAAATTACATTTGCAGACAAGAATGTTCATATAGGGAGCTTCAAAAATTAGCAATTTTTGCCAAGTTTTGTGTTTGTTGTGAAACAATCTTTTTTTTAAGTGTTATTATTTACCTGTTCACATAAAAAAATGATTGTGTGTATTCCTCTGATTGCTCTATGATGCAGTTTCCTGTAGTAATAAATCTCTTTGTTTCCATCCTTCCACCCTGTGTCTGTTCTTTCAAGCCTTCTCTCCTCAAAGCCAGCCACAGCCCTGCTGCTTCTCCTGCAGAAGGCAGCAGTAAAAGCAAGATGCAACTCCATCCCGCCTCCTGGACACAAAGTGAGGTTATCACTCAACCTCTCGACTCCCCCACAGCCACCCAGTCTGGTGAGTTACTCTGGAGAAACGTGCACATTTTTGTTTTTGCGGAGTAAAAATTGTTGCATTTAGTTTTTCGACAGGGTATGAGAGGTAAGGAAAAGAGTGGACATAATGCAGCTGTATTGTTGGCACTGTGTGGCGGGGCATAATGGGTTCCTGCCAGTCTTACATTATGCAAGCCCTTTACTGATACACAACCTGCTTCGCTGTGGGATAGAAGAGACAAAAACTACAATATATATGTAGTTACACTACTGACATATTGTTGGCCTATTGTTGAATCTGTATATTTATTCATTTTCATGCCACAGTACAAACCGCTTAGCTTGTTAATACTCTTTGTTCATTGTGTTTATGAAGCTGAACTTTACACTCTCCCGGTAAAGAAAATGTATGATAATACCCACAAAAATGTTCAAGTTTGAGTGGGCTGCATGTTGGATTAATGTTTCTACACGTTGATCAGTCACAGCTTTCACATTCTAGCTGTGATTTATTTTCCGTTTTCCGCACAGAAAACATCTCAGACCAGAGTGACATCGAAGGTCGGATCAAGGCACTGAAGGAGGAGCTCCGGAAACGAAAGCTCATGGCCTACCAGCTGAAGAAAGAGCAGAAGAAGCGTCACAAAGAGAGGCTGAAAGCACAGGAGGCGAGCCTGTTGAAACAACTTGAGGTAAACTCCATGAGGGCTTTTTAGAGTATCAGAATTAGTTAAACGTACAAAAAAAACTTAGCTGTAGATTCTGCATTTGTTCTGTACCGTCTATAAAGAATCTCATAACTATACTTTACATTGTAACGTTTTGCCTACTGTTTTCTTTTTAGAACTATGACAGCTTCATTGAGAAAACAAAGGCAGAGCTGAATAAAGAGTTGGACTCGACACCTGATTCCAAACTGGTTTTGGAGCAGTCGTCTATTAAATCCCCTCCACACAGGTACAGGAAACAAATATAATCACAATACATATAATATAGTACCAGATAATATCTGATCTTTTTAAAATGACTGTTCTTTTTTAGGTCTGAAACCAACAAAGGTCCTGATTCTGAAAGGTCACTATCTGATGCATCATTTGAACACAGTGAGTGGATTTATCATAACTGTTATGTACAGTGCACTTTAGGGTTGGGCGGTATTGATCATTTTCATACTGTGGTATAATCTTTAAAAATACTGTAGTATTACAGGGGGGAGGGGTCTGTGGTGTGTTGAGTCAAACAGATCTTCTGAATGAGCCGAGGTGGTCCAAACACACATCAAGTAACATTATGGGGCGTCTTCTGAAAGAGCTCAGAATGTTTATGTCCCAGTTTCCGTAGCAGCTTTGTGGATATTTGGCGCTTCAGCTCACATGACTCCTAACCCCATCATTTTAAATATCCTCACCCTATTTTGTTACCCTGGTATATTAAAATACTGTCATACCGCCCAAGCTGAGTACACATACTGTACATTATTCATTTGGAAAGCACTCTCTCTAAAATGCCCTTAATAAAAATCATAATAATAATGCAACTTTTCTGTTACAGTAGATGCATTCCCTCAGGCTAAAAACACCAGATCTACTTCTAACGCTTCGCATGAAGACTTGTCCAATAAGGAAGCTTCGACTTCAAGAGTGCCTGTTCATAGCAGAGCAGAGAGTGAAACACTTGAACAGGAGATGCCTGCAGAGTCTCCTTTCCAACTTGCTGAAATAAAACACGTGACTGACCAAAGATCTGATATCGAGGAAGAGTTGGAAGTTGAAGAACGCTTCAAGTCTGAGGATGAACATTCTCACCATCTTCTTAAACTTGAAAAGGAAAACCGTCTCGACTCCCAGGAGACGATGACGAAACATGTTTCCTCAATCCTGGATGAAGAACATCAGCGTTCTGCATCTGTCAGGCCTGAACACGACACACAGATGAAGCATAACCTAATATCTAATGTGGAGGAAGCTGTAATATCAAAAGGCTCTGGTGAGCCTCATTCAGCTGCTGCTGAGTTGGAAACTTCACCGCACGGGAGTTGCACGTTTTCTGCCAACGACTACTCTCACTCCCCTGACTCAGCTCTCTCTTCAAAGAAGAAGCCAAGCATAAAGGACAGTGGAACTTCTCCTGTAGCAGACAGTTATTACGATGACTTTGAGTCAACACGTTCTTCACCAAGAGAAGATAATGCGTTCAAGCCTGAGTCTCAGGTCTCCTCTTCACATACTGAGATCAAACACTCGAGTAAGGACTCCTCAAGCAGAGAGCCCACATTGGACATTCAAGAGGAGGTGGAGATGAGTAGGCAGTCTGGTGTGAGTGAAGAAAGCCACCAGTCTGAAAGACTACTCCATCTCAATCAGCAGAGGGAAGATGTTCAACATGATAATAAGGGTACTCACTCTCCTCCACAAACTCCTCCTCCTTCTTTAAAAGACGAAATGCCAAGTTTTGGCCTTGGAGACCGGGTTCTTGTTGGAGGTGTGCAGCCTGGTACTCTCCGATTCAAAGGTCCAACCAGTTTCGCCAACGGCTTCTGGGCCGGAGTGGAGTTAGACAAGTCTGAGGGGAGCAACAACGGCACCTACGATGGGGTGGTGTACTTTAATTGTGAGGAGTGCCATGGTATCTTTGCTCCTCCAGACAAAATCACACATCTCCCAGACAAGTACGACCTGGATGCTGATACCACAGAGGACGAGGACTCGTTCTATGATGATTTGTTTGATAAAGGTGGGAGTAAACCGAAAAAAATTCAAGATAATTCCCAAAATCAAGGAGACCTGGAAAGTAAAAATGAAGATACGTTTCTAAAGGAGAAGGAGTCTGGAGATGCGGAGGTGATGGGTGAGACGAATCAGGCTCCACTTGAAGAGAAACCCCCCCTAAACTCACAGCATCACAAAGAATCCACACTTCTGGTTTCTAATGGCAAAACAGAGGATATAATTTTAGATTTAGAAGATGCATCGCACACCTCCCTCATCTTAGACGTGGATAAAAGTGGGCTGGTGAACAAGGAGACAACAGCCATCATCGAGAGGAATGATGCAGATTCTAAGGAGCACTTGAGTCCTCATGGTCTGGCCACAGACATTAAGGATGAGAGTGAACCAAAGGACCGAGATTTGCTGGACACATTCACAGACACGCTTATCAAAAACTTTGTGAGAGACGCTGTCGAGCAGCTTGCTGAAATAAAAAAGTCTAAAGAGGAGAAGATTAAAACAGCCAACCAGCTGAACGGAGACTTGTTTGGTGAAAATAATGAGGAGGACATCTGGATCTCTTCAATACAACAAAAAGATGGTCTTCCCTTCTTTCTTCCTTCTGAAAAAGAGGAGCTGTCCTCTCCAGAGCTTTGTAACAGACCAGTGAGTGGGCTTTAATTCTTCAATAGCTTATTTTTTTTCTCCAATTATTTGGTGTTTAAGCTGTAATGTAGTGTCCAGTAATGATGGGCTTTTGTTTGTCACTCCTGACAAACACAACTTGTTTGTTTAACCGGGAGTTTGTTGGGATGTGTACATTCAAAGTCCAGCCTTATGTTGACAGACTATTGAATTTGTTGGTCTTTGCTGAAAACATTTCTATCTTAAACATAAATAAGAAAAATAATGTTTTTTGACTTCAGTGTAATGGGACTATATATGTGAAAATGAAATAAAACAGGTGTGTTGGCATGATGCAACTATTTTTAATAAGTACATGTTTAAAATCTTACGAAGATATGAATGTCATGTTTTCCTTGTTTGTCTGAAATAGGAGAGTCCCATGTTGGGAGCCAGTGGTCAAGAAGAGCTCGTAAAGCGTCTGGCGGAGCTCGAACTGAGCCGCGAGCTGGTAGACGAGTTCGGTGACGACCAGGACTGGTTCGATGAGGACTTCGGCCTCAGCTCGCGTAGAAAACAGCAGAGAATCAAACAGAACGAAGAAGAGGCAAAGCTGGGTGGGGAACTCGGGAGGTCTGGCTCGTCATCAGGACCACTTATGGGGGAGATCATTTCATCACTGGGTGGGGAATCGCAGGTGAAAATTCCACCTAGGCCGGAGCTACCGCTCCCTTTGCCTCCCAAGCTGCCTGAGCAGCCTGCCATGGTCGTGCCACACTCGGCCAGAGAGGTGGAGAAAATGGTCCACGCTGCCACACTAGAGATCTGGGAGAGCTGTGAGCTGGGGAGGGAGGGAGCTCTGGCTCTTGAACAACCGCCAAAGCCTACACCTTCTGTAGAGTACCTCGGTAAAGAGTCCAGCAGCCAAGACCAGGAGTCTATCTCCATCCGCAGTTACAGAAAGGTAAAAACAAAACCTTAAAAAACAGCTATACAAACAGAAAATCATGAAAAATCATTTCCAGTTTCAAATTAATTGAATTTCTATTATACATTCAAGCCTCTTTTTTTTTCCTTTCTCTTTGCAGGCTGTTTATGATTTAACATGGGAGATACTTCAAGAGATCTATACTCAAGACCCCGACACTGATCAACCTCAGTGGGTCAAACCACGTCAAGTCAAATCCTCTTCCATTCACAAAGTCAAGACAGCTGGTGATATCAACAAAATACAGGTAAAGCTCACAGCAGAAAACGTTTTTTACTCACGCACCTTACTTCATTCTTTTCTGCTTTTTCCAGATTTTTACCTCCAGAACTCAAACATACCAGAGTTTATGGCTCGATAAATCATAATTTACTAGATTAACTGACATTGTTTTAAGAAATTCTTCAGGATTTAGCATTTCGACTTTACATTAACTTGCAATCACTGAGAATGGACACATAATAATCTTGCTGCCTTCTAAGAATCCTTTTTTGTTCTTTTAAACATAGATTCAGTTTTCATTTAATGAATGAACAACTAGTAGAAAATGTTTCTGAGCTGCGGTGAATGTTTTTACACTAATTTAACTGCGTTTTATTGAAGTTTAATTTATATATTTTTACTTTGTCAAACAGGAGTTTGTCACAGCAGAAATACTGAAACTGTACAACCTGACACAAGATCAGAACCAGAAGAGCGACTGGCAGAAGATGCTCAAGTTTGGCAGAAAGAAGCGCGACAGAGTTGATCACATTCTGGTAAATATCCAAAAAAAATGTTTGGGAGTTTTTTGTGTTTTATTTAAATGACAGTTCTGTGTCAAATGTCACATTTTTGTTTTTTGTATTACAACATGTTATGTAGGTGATTGTAACTGTTTTCATTATTACATCATCAGGTTTCCATTAAGAATTTCTTGTTTTGCACAAAAGAGAGAGAAGAGAATAAAGAAAATTGTTTTCCAAAGCAGGGACTGGAAAAAAACAAAACCTCACAGATGCATATTTTATATTTGTGCTAAAAAATACAAACATATATATATATATATATATATATATATATACTCTACGTGCTTTGCAAACTGATGTAAGCATGACAATCAAATGAGAAGTTTTAGCTGGAAAATCATATCATTCTACTCAAGCAGCATGAAAAAGACATGAGGATTATGAAGTTGCTCTGCATGGAAACAAAAAAGTGATTTTTATTTTTTTAGCTTTAAAAAATGTTGGATTTCGGTCTTTTGTTATAGTGATATGGTCTTTCTGTTTTTGTTCATCAGGTACAGGAACTCCACGAGGAGGAGGCCCAGTGGGTAAACTATGATGAAGATGAGCTGTTCGTCAAGTTGCAGCTGGCAGACAGCATCTTCGATGCTCTGCTGAAGGACACTGCAGATGCCTTCACGCTCATTTCTGCAAAGAGAGCCAAAAGAGGCCTGCTCTCCTGACAGCGTGGATTTTCAAGTACAACATTTCTCAATCCCAGTTTTTCCTCATCGCTGTGAAATCCAAACAACCACACGCACCTCTTCCCTCCACCAGCTCATTTCCCAACAGCAACCCTCCGAGGCCTTCACTCTGTGTTTCGTCTCTTCCTAACATCCTGTAACACTGTCTGTAGCATTCATCGGCTGATTTAGCATCAGTGACTCTTAGTTTTTCATTTGTTTTGACAAACACAACACCTCTTAAGCAATCCAGCCTTCCTACACCTGAACAGCATCTAGTCGCAGTGCTGACCTCTTGAACTGGTCTCTTTAGAACCACCAGCTGGAGACGGTTAGACGTGTTGATGGGATGGATTGTGCCATCATTTGTAAGCACGCGAAAGTCTGAGTGCTGCTAAGCTGATCGTTCCACTGTGGACTTGATATATCGCATTCATGTGGAACATCAGCGGATTCCTAAAGTCTGTGTTGAAGCTTTTTTGGAAACCTAGGTTTGAAAATTGAAAGAAAAGAGTGCAATCTGTTATTTATTTGATGTTAACATATTTGGCTTTCATCCCCATATTCAAGGAAGAAATGAGAATCCTGACTTTTTATAGCCACCAACCCATCCTGCTGTATGGAGTTTGCAGATTTGCCAGTTTGGATTTCTGTCTAGACTTTAGCAAATACAGCACATGCCCCGTTGCACTGAGGTCAGACAATTTACTACTAAAGATTTTATATTTGTTTTCAGCAAGATGCTAATTGGCATTAGATTCTTGCTTTGTTTTGGAGTTAATCTAAATAATGTAAAGTTCAATATGGACATGAAAAACCTATTCGTTAATCATCAGATATGGTGAGATTGCACTGAATCATAAATGAGTTCAAATTAGTAAAACATTTTTGCATCTTAAATTATTTATTGTGTGGAAAATGTTCGATCAGAGGAGAAAGGAAATGATCTCGTCAACGTATGAAAAGGTAGCTTTTAAACTTTGTATATAGAGGGAAAAAATCTAAAGTTATGGTTAAAGCACAAAGTGAAATGTGAATATGATTAAAGCAATACATTATGAATGAAATCGGAGAAAGAACAGGGAGAAAATATTTCGGTCTTTAGCGCTTTAAATGTTAAGAATTAACTGAAAATATCTGATTTTTTTTTCCCTGGCCGCAGCTGTCTAGTTGTTTAAAACAATCACTGTGTCCCACTTGTGTACTGTATGTAACACTGTACACAGTTTTGGGCTGAAAACAGTCTCGGCCTTTAATTCCTCCGCAAAGTCTCAGAAAATAGATTTTAGTGAAAAGGAAACTATTTTAGTTTCATCTACATTGTTGAAAGAGTTCCCAGTCTCGTTATTTTTTTAAGTGTCAGCGTAGCTCAGAACAGTGACAGTGTGCGAGTGGGACACAGAGAACCGGCAGTCGGCTTTACTTGATATTTTATAAAGAAATAATGTAATCGAACTGAAATGCTGGATTTGAGTCTTCCTTGACCTACAGTTCATTTACCTCCTCAGACCACAGAGAACGTGTTTCTGATTTCTTTATTACTGCAGAGCAGCAGTTCATGCCCTGAAACAACAGCAACACGACCCACGCGCTGCTGAAAGTTGCAGCGAGCGTTACGCTGCACCTCGTTTGTATACTCGGACTTTAAAGGTAGTCTTTCTCCATGTTCCATTTAAGTGCCTCTTTTACTTATTTTTGATTCATAAGTTTTATTGAGCTCAACATCTTTTGGACCTATTTTCCTTGAATGTTTCAACTTTTCACCTGCTGTATATACTCGTGAAATGGCTGCTCTCCCTTTTTTTAACCAGTTTTTCAGCCCTCATGTGTCTGCCTTATCCCCTTTGTAATAAGTGAAAGTTATCTAAATTGTCTCGTTTTTGACTCAAGTCTAGATAAATGTTACCTCCTGTTTGTCGAGTCACCTGTGCGTTTGCCCACGTCCGCACAGCTGAGTCATTTTTATTAACGTAATATGAGGAACTAGTTTGTGGACAGAGCACACACACACACACACACACACACACACACACACACACACACAAGTGACTCTGGGTTGCAGCTTGCACAAAGCGAGCCACTGAGCGGACGTGGCTGAACACGGAGAATTAAATCCAAGGGCTTATTTATGCTCACTGTCAGTGCTGCTTTGACCCAACAAAACTTTGTGCACCACACAAACTCACTAAACCTCCATGACTGTTTAGAGCTGAAGTGACCTTAAACTGACTCTCTTTTTCTCAGCCAATCTGTTTTTAGGGTGTAGTTTAAACACCTTTTTTAAAAAGACAGTTCCAATATCTCTATGCTGTACGACTCAACGCCTGGTTTAAAGGCACGTGAAACTTCGATGGTGACATGATGAGAATGATTTTCTGCAAAGCTTTATTGAAAATCCAAGAATTGTCCCTTTAAATTGATTGTAAGGGTGATGAAATTAAGTTCCCTCTCTGTAACTATGCAGTACCTGCTCACTTGTTATTTTTTAACGAGCGGACCAAACGGCTTCGGGCCTCGTTTGTAATTATTTTTTTCTTTTTTTGTAAATAAAATTATTGTCCTCATAGCTTGGAGCTGTTCAGTGTCAGATGGATCAGCTTTCTTCAGAGAAACTGGGCAGCTTCAATTAAAAAAATTAAAAAAGGTTTGCTTAGAATAAAATAATTTAAAAATGTAGACATAAATTATTTATCACAGACTTAATTTCCCTCCCTTTTGAAATATTTGAATATTTAATAATAATGTTCTGAGTGCGTTAAGCACACTTAAAGATTTGTTTAATTCTTTAATGGGTGTAAATATTCTGTTGATCCGATTCGACCCACTCTGTCTGTAACCCAAACAATCTTTGTAAAAATAAAACATTGTTTACCTTGCAAATATGTACATAGTATATATTTGTTAACTAAATAAAATTTGAAAGTGTAAATAAAGTTTTTGTTGTTTGTACAGGAAGTTGTGCTCTTGTGTCGTGGTTTTAATGGCAGGTGTGATGTGTGCACAAGTCGTTACCACGCGCTGCCTCGGTGACGACGGTCAAACCAGGGTGTTTCCCCAAAATGTTTGGTCGCATCAGAACTAAACTCAGATGTTGTGACGTGATGCTGGTTTCTGCAAAGTCTTTCATCTTAAACGTCCACACCGACATGACACAAAACATTCTTTGCGTATTGTTTGAGGAGTATTATATAACTGTGGACAGGGTAAAGGTTTTTTTTTCCTGGACCCACATGACTTCATCAAACACTTTAGCATGCAAGATCAGTGGTTAGTACTGATGCCTCAGCAAAAAAGGTCCTGGATTCGATCCCCGATTCAGATTATTTTTCTTGTGCTTGTGTGGGTTTTCTCTGGGTACTCCGGTTTCTTCCCACAGACTAAAAACATGTAAATAGGTTGCCTTCAAGTACATGCCTCCCTTGCAAAATAGATCTGTAATCTCAATGGGATTTACATACAGGTTAATAAAACTGTAGCATGACGGTTTTCTCTTGCAGAGCAGCTTGAGGCTCAAATGTGTGGATCCAGCAGTCAGTTCTAATTGTGATCTTTTTCTGTCGAGATTTCCTTCAGTTATCTTTAGTGTTTGTAATACTTAGCAAATACATTTCACGAGCCACTGTGTGGATTTATAAAACTGATAAACTTTTAAGAGCCAACCAATGAGTTATACTGACTAGAGGTGTCAGAAGATTGACTGTGGTACAAGCGCGACGCCATATTGGAAGGGACAGGCTTTTAGAAACATCATTCTTTGATGTGTGTACGGCAACATGTTTTTACCTGTATTGACAAGCATTTCTATCAAATTAAAATAATGGTTGTAGCAAATTGAGTTTCATTGAGGTGCTGGCCTAAAGTTAACATCGTGGTTACTACATTCAGCTTTACCTGCCAACAGTACTGTCTTAATATGAGCAATATGGCTGCTCTCTCTCCAACCAAATGTTTGACCATGGAAAGTCTTATGATAGTGCCTCTATTCAACGAGTGTGTCCCAACTCAGGGCCTGCGTGAAAACGCTGTGAAAGGAGGCAGTCTAGTTTTCAGATAACATATAGTCCATGGGCACCGCCCCCCGACCCCCACCCCTCAAACTTCTGGTATTTAATTAATTAAATTAGGGGTACAGAAAACTTATATAATAACTTTGCTATAAACCATCCAAATTTTTGCAAACAAGGTATCAGTAGATTTGTATTGATTGGGTCTTCGATGTACATGACATTTCATTAAGCAAATATGCGCTCGATGATGTCATCAGGGTGTAAAAAGTTCATAACCCCAACAGAAGATGAAAATTTTCATGTTTTTAGTCTGTAGATTAGGGTGGGTCACAGTGTGTACACCCCACTACTGAACTTCTCTGGTGTAGGGTCCCCTCTTTCAAAAAAAAAAAAAAAAAAAGCATGTTACCAGAAAAAAAGTTGGGTCTCACTGCCCCCCCAGGGACCACTTTGGGACCACACCCTTTTTCCATTGTGACCATCAAAATTAGGGGTTCAGGGAACTTAACTGCCAATAACTTCACTATAAACCAACCAAATTTTTAAAACAAGGAATCAGTAGATTCGTACTGGCTAGCTCTTCAATTTAAATGACTTTTTATTAAACAAATGTGCAAACAACGATGTCATTGGGGGGTCAAAATGTCCCAACCACAACAGAAGATGAAAATTTTCATCTTTTTAGTCTGTAGGTTAGGGTGGGTCACCATGCACACCCCACTACTGAACCTCTCTGGTATTTTCATGTACCCTAGGGTCCACTCTTTCAAAAGAAGCATGTTAACAGAAAAAAAAGTTGGGTCTCACTGCCCCCCCAGGGACCACTTTGGGACCACACCCCTTTTCTATTGTGACCATCAAAATTAGGGGGACAGGAAGCTTAACTGCCATTAACTTCACTATAAAGCAACCAAATTTTACAAACAATGTATCAGCAGATTCATACTGATTAGCTCTTTGAATTGCATGACATTTCATTGAACAAATATGCAAACAATGATGTCATCGGAGGGTCAAAAGGTCACAACCCCAACAAAAGATGAAAATGTAGTGTAAACCACGCCCACTCTGTTTGTTTGTTTACACTGAGTGCTGTCCATATTTCTCTATAACAGTGTTGATGTCGGGACCCAAAGTGGGGTCCTGAAACATCAAGATGGGGTTCTGAAAAGATTTTCTGAATTAATTACATTTTTGTCTTAGTTGTTACAAAGGAGTGAGGTTAGTGTATTTAAAATGGATAAATGTAGAATAAAAATATTGTTACTATGTCCATGTTTAGTTGACCTGATACAAATTATCATCCAGAAACAGTTGGGGGCACAGGTCTCTGCTACTGTTATTTTGTGGGTCAAAAGCTGCACTTTGGTTCCCAAAGTTGGGCTTGTGACCCAATTATGGGTCATGAAGCACCTTGGAT